ATGGGGGTGGAGGGAACACTGGAGCATATCCCAGCTGTCACAGGGCAGAAGGCAGGGTACGCCCAAACAATTTAGAGTTGGTTAAAAATCAACTCTAAGTGCATCTTTGGAAGTAAACCAGAGTACTCATACAGAAAGATCCCAGGGAACCAGTGGATTTGAACCCAGGACCTACTTACTGTTAGGCCTGCTAATCACAACACCACTGTGCCAGATGCTGCTTTGCTTTGAATTCTCAGATATGATGTTGAGCTATGAGGCAAAAAAAATAAATAAAAGAATCCCACTTTTAACAAAAACAATACAATCATGGTAAGACGTAGAATATCTGTCATACACATGAAACATGAATTGATACGCTGTGTTAAACACAACTTGTCACGTGTTAAAAACAATTTAGCTGACTATTCTTCTGTTTTTAAATCACACTGGATTTACTTGTTTCATTCATGTTGGCTCTGATACACCGTTTATGTTCAAACTAATAAAACTGATGCTTTGGACATTTTTAGTCCACATTTTTTCCACTGGAGGGGGAAAAAGAAAACCTAGCCAAAAAGAAGCAAACATTCAAAACATGGTTTAAATTTCCGAGCATTAAGATTTTAGTTTTGGAGGTCATCTTAAAAACTCCTGAATTACCGTAAGCTTAAGAAGACATTTTTTAAATTAAAAGCAATCGCTGAGCAGCAGTGGCTCAAAAACAAGAAGAAAATATCACAGCTGTTTGTCCGTGTCCTGTAAGTGCCGACTCTTTTTATTGAAACTGTTAAATATCTCAATCAGATCTGCCTGAAACTGGAATGGTGGACGCTTCCTTCCACTGAAAACACCCTGATTACATTTCTCCCTTTTAACATCGTATTGGCATGATCGTGCATGGATGAAATGCTGCTCGTCAATGAAACAACAGTCCTGTGCAAGCTTTACCACAGCTGTTAAGATATGATAAATACATGACAATTTAGTGATTGCAGTGGTGTGGATCACAAAGAGGGCTCTGTGCGCCACTACAGCTCGTCACAATCCAGTCGCGGCAATCTTCGCAGCGGTGCATAAGCAACGAGTTTGTGGATTTATTATGAAGTGGCTGGCAGACGGGAGAACTCTACTCTTCGCTCGTGTCCTTCTTGCTGGTCTCCTGTCCTTCGAAGATGGGGTACTTGCTCTCCACTTCCGCCCAGGTCAATGTGCCGCTGGCCAAATCCCGAACGATCACGGGCAGCTCGCTGACCTGTGAGGAGAGAAAAAGAGGAGCGTTTTTACTTAATGGTGTTTTATGGTGTGTGTGGAGCTCGAGGTGAAATGCACTTGGAGTAGGGTTAAGTCATGTTGCAGGTAATTTTACTGTCGACAGAATTATCAATCAAGTCTGAAGATATTTATGGCTCGTGTCTTGGCATCACTCTGAGCCCAACACAAGTGTAAACCAGAGAAAATGGACTTAAAGCCTAAAAACACAATTGATTTTGTTGTTGTTGCACGACTAAAGAGCAGTAGCACAGTTTATGCATGCAGCTGTACTGATGAGTAAAAGAGGAATCTCTGTTCCATGAAATGTGAGTGAAACAGACTGAAATACATCATCTGCTGCCACACTAAGCTCAGCCTCGTTGCAGCCATGCATGTCCTCACATGCTCACTTTCCACTCTGTTATTCTTCTGTCGAGGTGATGGCACATTTTCAGTGTTTTTGTTTGCTTGTTTATCCCTTCGTGTGTTTCAACATGACAATCAAACAGCACCAAGCTGGAGAGGTGAAGCACAGGCAAAGGATGAAACTCACTGGGCCTTAAATGCATTTCTCTTTAGTCGTCATTTATAGAATCGTTTGATCTGATTTTTTTAAAAAGTAACAGACATAAAAGCTTACGGTAAATGTTAAAATACGTGGCTGAACAGAAAGGTTTAGGTGGGAGGTTTACTGTTAATGAAAGATCATGCTGCACAGCTGTCACAGACTCACACAGAGAGCTTTCTCTTTATCGGTCGCCATCTTGAAAATTACTTATATCATTGTTGGATATCATCACTTACAATCAACTTCCTGCAACTATCCCATGGATGAACAGCAAGGCGCTATATAAATGGAATACATTAAACACCAATTCTACTGTACAGTCTATGTTTTGGAGACCATTTTTCATACCAAACCACACAAAATGAATGAATGAGCTGAAAGGTTATGGAAATCACTACCACGGTTGCTCAGTTTTATCTGTTCTTCTGTGCTGTGACAAAAGCACAGCCCTAGAGTTTACCTGTGCAGCCCTAACGCATGTAAAAATGGAGTGAAGTGAAGCAGTACCTCGGCCCTGATTTGCCTCATAGAGTCACGGTCTCTCAGAGTGGCTGTGTGAGGCGTTTTGTTCACACTGTCAAAGTCAATGGTGATTCCAAACGCCACTCCGATCTCATCCGTCCTGGCGTAGCGCCTCCCGATGGATCCTGAAGAGTCGTCCACCTTGTGAGATACGCCGTTTCTGGTCAGCGCCTCCGCTAAGGAGAAAAGAAAAAAGCAGTTGGAGAAAGTGCCGTTTTTCTTCTTTGACTGAAATAGGATGTTTGATTTTGGAATCACTTACATAATTCCCTCACAAAAGGCATGAACTCTTGGTTTTGACTCAGAGGCAGGACGGAGCACTTGTAAGGAGCGACAGTAGCAGGGAAGCTAAAGTACTGCAGTGAAAATGAAGACATCATTAAAGGAAACCAGCAAAAATAAAACAAAGCATGCAAAATACTCAACTCTGTAAGGAGCTACAACAATATAACAAAATCAGGTGCTACTCTTTAACTTGTTAGTAAAATACACATAAATCAATCACAAGGATTTAACGTTCCAGATCAAAATATAATCATAAAGAAATAGATGAAGAGGATGAGTGCAGCAGCACTGAACATGGTGTCATTTTGTAAGGGCAGAAACATCGATGTTGTCAGACTTACCGTTCTTTGTTCGTCGCCTTCTCTGACCTGGAATGTGTGCTCAAAGATGGTGTACATGATCCTACCGATGCCAAACGAGGGCTCGATCACGTTGGGAACAACTTCCTCGACTGTGGATGACAGAGACATTATAAAACCGCTTGCTCTGGGATCATTTCCCTCACGTTTCTCTCGAGTGAAACTCACCGTGCAGAGTCTTCTGGAATCGCTTCACGCTGACCATGTCCTTTGTGAGTTTGAACGCTTTGCCTTCTGTCTCGATAGTGAACTCTCTGAGGAGCACAAATGTGATAAACTAACTCTTTCCCAAAAATGTACTTGAGACAACCATCAGTATGGCTCTGATTAGCCACAGCACTCACCCACTCTCACTGAGCAGCTTTTCCTGGTCTGTAATGAAGCACTCGTCACACACAGAGAGGTACTCCATGACTATCTTTGCATCCTTTTTATAGGCCTTCCCAATGGCTCCTTTGTTGGGCTCGAACTGGACGACATTTACGGTTTTGTGTGGAGAAGTTAAGGCGAAACACCGATCACCAACATCAAAAGGCTCTTTTGTGTTTTGAGACTTTCTCTGAAGTTGTGTTTCTACTTTGATTTAAGGATATGGGTTCTTTTAGAGGCTTTTCAGCAACCAGAGGGACCTTGGTGGCCCGTGCGTGGCACTGCAGATCGTAACAGGACCGGTCAGCGCAGCCTACGATCTCGATCCAGCCCTGCAGGGGACAAACATTACTTTGAGCATCAGCATACAAAGAAGCTGATAAAGCTGTGAGGACGCGCTGCAGTGGAACGTACGTAGGAGGTTTTGGCTTCGGCATCCCAGCAGTCACAGGCGTAGTGAGCCATCTCGTTGTCCATGTGCTGTCGGAAACGCAGCTTGTCTTTGGCAATACCAACTTTAGTAAGGTAGAGGTAGATCCTCCCGATGAAATATCCCAGGACGGAGTTGTTGATCACTCCCTAAGTGAGACAAGATACATTTTTTGTTGCTTTTCATCTTAAACTCTAT